GGGAAGGGAAGCTCGCAGTTTGCGACGCGCTGTAGATTGTGCTACGAACTTATTGGACCGCTTAACGAGTGCGGAGTCCGTCAAGAATAGATCTGCTTCGCGCGATGGTTTGGTTATACGAAATCGACAGCACATAACTCGCGATCATACTAGATAAATAGTCAGCAGAGTCGCAGGTCCTTACTACCATTCGCCGCGCTACTTCTCGCTAAGGCGCAACGCTACTATGACATGTGGCGACTAGGTGAATGGCGATACTACAAGAGGAGTGGAAATCGAAAATGGCAGATCTGAGCAGGCGTGGCAAATTGGAAAACCATTTCTGAGCCGGTGGTGGTGTGCCACCCAACCGAAACACCATCCCGGCGGTTCCGTTGTGATTTCTTTCTGCCCGGATTGTTTCCCTCGATTTCCTTCCCTTCCCCTCTAGGCTTTTGATTGGGCCTCGCAATTTTCTCCATCCCAACCCCTTCCTTGCACCTGCCCAGAAACCGATTTGACACGAGCAAAATTGATCGCAACCAATGAATTCTCTTTTTTTGCATTGATGCCGTCCCGCACCTCACGCAAGGTGCTAGACTATGAACCACTAACACGTCAAGCAAGCGTGACATGCCCAGCGCTTAGAATATCCACACTCTCGATCAAATGAATCATTTGAAGTTGAACGTACTGTAACTGAACCAGAATAACAACAAAAGTGTTTCCCACAAACCTGCAATCACACAGAAACAGCCACAATGGAGGATTACCGCACTGTTCCTACCTGCCACCACTGTTCCGGATTGACCCGAATTTTGGCGCTTCAGCCACGATGGGGGATGGGCGTACTGTTCCCTTCCCTCCCTGCGACCACGATTCTGACTCTTCTGTGCTGTTCTTCTTCACCTAAATTTGGCGCTTCTGGATTTTCATGACCTACAGTGAACAGCGTCAGTTTTCATCTCAACCGCTCACGTTTTACGGCAGCATCTCCACCCTTGGTTCAGCCTCTACGCTTCGCAAACCTCAGCCCAGCACCTGTGTCAGCTTGTCATGCCACGCGATTCCAACCACGCGATTCGAGCGGTGATTCCATCATTCCAAGCCTCGCTGCAAGTTGTCCCTCGCTGCAGCTTCATATTGGGTTGAGTTGTGAGCTTCAATTAGAAGACTTGAAGACTGCTTCGACGGCCTGCTCAACGTGGAAGACTTGAAGACTTGGGGACTACAGCGCCTCTCCACGGCTGAAGGAGCACAACAAGAGGCGTTTCCATCGTGCCTTTCAGGGTACTCAAGAACGCGCGCGCGTGAAGACTAAAGAGGCGGTTTCAAGTTGTGCGTTTCAGGCACACAAGATCAAGCGAGGCGTTTTCAAGTTGTGCGTTTCAGGCTCACAAGATCAAGCGAGGCGTTTTCAAGTTGTGCGTTTCAGGCACACAAGATCAAGCTTGAGGAGTTCCTGCCGAGGAGTTTCCCTTGTGCCTTTCAGGCATTCAAGAACGAGCGCTCGTGAAGACCAGAAGAGGCGCTTTTCACTCGTGCGTTTCAGGTACACAAGGAGCCGCGGAGGATTTTATCGCTTCCCTATCTCCTCTATTCGTTCTTCTCCCCCCTCAGATCACGGGAGGAGCACCACGGTCCGATCTTCTCCACGGTGAGCTTCCTTCCGCCTTTGCTTTCAGTTTTTATTGTTATTTCAGTCTTTGTTGTTGTTCTTTATTTTCTTTTCTTTTTTTTACTAACTTACCCTTTGGTTTCTTCCTCTGCGCTGCAGGTTTAGCATGGAGCCGCGGCGTATCACCCTCCCTTCTCCTCTGTTTCTTCCTCTCCCCCCTTAGATCACGGGAGGAGGACGGTCAGATCTACTCCGTTTATAAGGTAGTAACGGTGAGCTCCCTTTCTCCTTTGCTTTCAGTTTTTGTTGTTGTTTCTGTCTTTGTTGTTGTTCTTTTTCTTTTCTTCACCTGTTTTTACTAACTTACCCTTTGGTTTCTTCTTCTGCGCTGCAGGTTTAGCATGGAACCGCGACGTATCACCCTCCCTTTCTCCTCTGTTTCTTCCTCTCCCCCATTAGATCACGGGAGGAGGACGGTCAGATCTACTCCGCTTATAAGGTAGTAACAGTGAGCTCCCTTTCTCCTTTGTTTTCAGTTTTTTGTTGTTGTTTCTGTCTTTGTTGCTCTTATTTTTGTTCTTTTCTTGTTTTTACTAACTTACCCTTTGGTTTCTTCCTCTGCGCTGCAGGTTTAGCATGGAGCCGCGGCGTATCACCCTCCCTTTCTCCTCTGTTTTTTCTCCTCCCCCTTAGATCACGTGAGGATGAACGCCCAGCGGACAAGGCGCCTTCTTCGACAAGGAGGTGTAAGATTTTATCGTACTGATGTTTCTGTTTTTGTTTCTGCAACTGTTCTGCTTGTTTCATTGTTTTGTTTTGCTTTTCTTTGCTTTGTTTTGTTTTGTTGCGATCGTATCACCTTCTCTTCTCTCTTTTTTCCACCCCCAGGTCACGCTGAAGACCAGCATCTGCGGAACCAACAGACTGAACGTTCGGCGAGTTAGATCCGGCGACGCACGAACAGACTGACTAATAGGCCGAACGTTTAGATCCGCGACCTGGCGACGTGCGAACTGACAGACGAACGTTTAGATCCCGCGACCTGGCGACGTGCGAACTGACAGACGAACGTTTAGATCCGCGACCTGGCGACGTGCGAACTGACAGACGAACGTTTAGATCCCGCGACCTGGCGACGTGCGAACTGACTGGCCGATCGAACGGTAGATCCCGCGGCGACGCAACGAACATCTGTCAGACCGAACGTATGGACCCTCCACCTGCACCGACCTTCTTCGGCTGCTCCTGAGGCAACAATCTGCAGAAGGTGGCTTCTTCCTGGCATCAAGCAACTTGAAGTTTGAGGTGTTCCTGCCGGATGGCAGTTTAATACTAACTTTCTGCCCTCTTTTTCCAACAGGGTCCCGGACGAATGACCTCCACCTCAACGCGGTGTCCGGGTGTAACGCTAGGAGCTTGCTCCTAGCGGCCAAGAGGGGTCAAGAAGACGTACAAGTCAAGCTGCGTGGAGTAATGGCTCTTGAAGCTTAGGAGTTTTTTATGTTTTGATAGTTTAATAGTCCTGCATGCTATGTATCTTAGTGATGCCAGTTTAAAATTATTACAAGCACTCCATTTCAACACTTGAACAACACAGTTCTTACTCTATGCAGCAACACTTGAACAACACTTGCAACACTCAATGGAGCAACATAGTTCATAGCACAAAGGTGACGCTGTTGCGGGGGAGTTGAAGCACCAGGCCCGCACACACAGACCTGCGTAATTCTAAGAGCTTGGAATTCACAATTGTTGGGAAGAAGGACTGGTTCGCTTTGAGCGGTTGATGATGTTTCGTCGCGGTGCAAAACGGTGAGACTTGATAATCGCTTTCAACCGCGTGGAAGCGTTCTAAGCCACCGTGTACCCCTTCCCCTGTCGAGTTTCTGTAAGAATGTTCAGGCAGGTCAGTGCAACGAATGCCAGCCAATCAAGTCCATGCAGGCGGTTTTGATTCCCCGCCAACCGATTTGTCAGTACGGTTCTCTCTGTTTTCCGCATGGTAATTTGGTGTTGGAAGGTTTTGGTGCCTAGATTGTAATTTCGCAGTTTTCGTTTAGTCTTCGCGAATACCTGTCGCTCCCTACTAACGAAATTTCAGCTTTAGCGAAATGTCCCCTAACACACGAACAGAGTGGAATTTCAGCCATTTACACAGGGGTCATCAACTTTACGTGAATCCCGTGAAGCCAGCGTCAGAACGTAAATCCCAGCGTGAAGGCAGCGTGAAGGGAGCGTCATCTCAGCGTGAAGGCAGCGTCATCTCAGCGTGAAGGCACCGTCATCTCAGCTTGAGGAATAGTCTTAGAGGTGGACATACCTAGACTAGACACACGTTTTACCATTTCTCTGGTCAGTTTTATGGTGGCCTAGCTCAAATCCTTTCATTTTGTTCCGTACTCCCACTCCGGCTCCATCGTAGGGACTGATTTATCAGCGTTAAGCTTTACGGTTCGTTCGCCGAGAACATCGCGTGCAACTCTCCTGCAGGTGCGGTTACCTTTACATAATCTCTGCGATATCACGTCTCAATCACGACCTGACATTCAATACTCATATATGGGAGCCATGCTTTGCGCCGACTGTTCTTTCTCTTTCGTTCTTGCGGTTCCTCGAACACGCACGCTTAAGCACAATGTCGGATTGCTGGAATGCGTGGTGCGATCGTCGCGGCCGTTATCCTTCCACCTCTTGGAACCTTCATGAAGAAAGAATGTGGATACGGATCCTGGGTACGGAAATCCCCTTTTTGCGCGCCGATGTGTAGTATCTCTCTGCTTTTGTTACGGGAGGCCACGTCGATATGATTAATCATCTGTTCATCCCTTCTGTTCCCGCTCCCGCGTTCTCTCGGTCCCCTTGTCTTCCACCTTGCAGGCTACTATCGCTTTTGCTCCGCCCCGCCTCACCTTCTCGCAGAGCCTTCCGCCACGCGAATCGCGCAGAGCCTTCCGCCACGCGAATCGCGCAGAGCCTTCCGCCACGCGAATCGCACAGAGCCTTCCGCCACGCGAATTGCCGCAGGAAACGTCCTGGCAGGCGCAGCAGCAGGAGCCTCGAGCCTCCTAGTCACGTACCTACCCTCGAGACGTCGCGCGCACGCGCCTGGCCTCCGATATAGGCACGCGCAGACAGCCTGCAGGCATGCGATCCGTTATAGCGGCACTCTGGCGGGCGGAGGGGATCAGAGGCTTATATCGCGGATTTCCTGCGTCCGTTCATGGGATTATCGTGCATAGGAGTCTATACTTTGCCAGCTGCTGGTGCGTGCAGGTGATGAAAGAACTGGCCAGCAGCAGCACCCTCCCCGCACCACGACGTGCTCAAGGCTTGTCTGGGCCTGGTGAAGGTGTTATCTGTGCGCCTGGAAGCTGCTGACCTGGAGGCTCACCTGCCGGCTATCATGACTGCTTTGCTGTCGACCAATGAGATCGCCGCAACCCAGTTCAAGGCCAAGGTATGCTATGGAATGGAATGCTCAAAAGCTGCTGCCTGCTGCCTTCACCCCGCTGCCATCACCCTGCTGCCTTCACCCTGCTGCCTTCACCCTGCTGCCTTCACCCTGCTGCCTTCACCCTGCTGCCTGCCACCTGCTGCCTGGTTGCCGTCATCCCCACCCATTCAAACCCGCCACCACTTCCCCCCCGACCCTCTCTCCTGTTTCCTCCTCTGCAGGTGCGCCTGGTGGGACGGTGAGGCCACGTTGCACAGACTTGTTCTCACCCATGCTCTTCTCCTCTCTCTTCTCTTCCAACCCAACAACCCCCCCACTCCCTTCCTCCTCTCAGGTGCGCAAGATAGTGCAGCGGCTGGTGAGACAGTGAGGCCATGCGACGGTAGCAGCAGCGGTGCCGGAGGAGCATCAGCGCCTGCTCACACGCATCCGCTCCGCAAGGTGGGCTCGTGGCGCGGCGGTTATTACATGTTTATCTGTCCTCCCCATACATCTGCCTTCACTCATTTCTCCCTTCGTTTTTGCCTGCTCCCTCCCCTCCCCCCCCACTTCTCCCCGTTTTCCCTCTTCCACTCCCACCCCGGTTCAGAACGAGTGACTGGAGCCACTCGAACCTGATTTCCGACACGTCAGCGGACGGCGACTTCAGCGATGACGAGGATTACAGCGATGCTGACGAGGACGAGAGCAGCGTGTACGGCGGCAAATCACGTGCCGCCAAGTCATCGTCTCGCCAGGACGGGTCGAAGAAGTCTGCGTGGTCGAACGCACTCTCGTCCAGGTGTGCTGACGTGGCATGGAGTGGAGCATGGTATGGGGCATGGTATGGGGCATGGAATGGGGCATGGAATGGGGCATGGGATGGGGCATGGGATGGGGCATGGGGTGTGGCATGGGGTGTGGCACGGGGTATGGCATGGTGTGTGGCATGGGGTGTGGGATGGGGTATGGCATGGTGTGTGGCATTGAGACCATCTCTCCCAGCGCAGTCCTGCTTCTTTTGCTTCCTCTTTTTCTCCGTCCATGTTTCTCCTTCCGCCGTTTCTCCTCCCGCCGTTTCTCCTTCCGCCTTGCTGCCTAATTCTGTCTCTCCCCCTTTTTCCCTTTCCCCTTTCCCCACTCCCCACTCCCCTCTCCCCTCTCCCTTTCTTCCCTCAGCCCTCTCCCCTATCCCTTCTCCTCTCCCCTCTTTCCCCGGGACCTCTTCCTCCTGCGTTCTGGGCAAGAAGACAGAAGGGCAGTTCTGCTCTCTTTTTTCTCCGTCCGTCTTTTCTCCTTGGCCATTTCACAATCCCTCCCCTCTCTCCTCTCCCCCCCTCCCCTCTCCCTGCAGGGCGGGCAAGAGGCGCAGCACGGCAGGCCACAGCTGCACGAGCGGATCACGGAGACAGTGGCGACACGCCCACCCGCGGAACCCTTTCCTGACGGTGGGGGGCATACTGCTGGTGGTGGTGGTGGTGGTGGTGGTTCGAAGCGGCATCATGATGGAGATGGGGAGAGGAAGAGGAGGATTCAGGCTTTGAGTATACAGAGGATGAAAAGACAGTTGTTCTGGACGAGACCGAGGGGGGAGAGGGTGGTAAGGGGAGGTAAGGAGGAGCCAAGAAGGGGGTGGGCGCAGGGGGGAATGACGGAGAGGGGATAATGGACTATGGGGTTATGGAGGGTGATGACGTGGCGATGGGCGATGCCAGCCTGGCATCTGCGAGGGCTGCTGAGCTAGCGTTTGGCCGGCGGATCCGCAGTGGGGGAGGGGCAGGGGTAGGGGCGAGAGAGGGGGTGGTGGTGCTCGTGCTCGTGCTCGTGCTCGTGCTCGTGCTGGTGCTGGTGGTGGTGGTGCTGGTGGTAGGAAGAAGGCCAAGGCCAGTTTTGGCCAGGCCATTCCTTCTGGTAAGGATAAGCGTGGCGGGAAGAATCAGGCTGGAAGTGGTAGCGGGTGGACTTATACAGGGGATGAATACGCTGCTGGCAGCGGGCGGAGAGCGGGCGACGATGTGAAGAAGGAAGGGAAACTGGAGCCGCACGCATACTGGCCGTTGGATGCAAAGATTCACAATCGGAGGGCTGGGAAGCTGGCAGCGGCACGGAGGGGAATGACCAGTGGTATTCCCAGCAGCGAGCAAAACCAACCCTCCCCTTGCACCTGTCCACCGTGCTCGCACCTTGTAGGAACTTTTAGATATATGCACCTTTTACAACCAACACCCGAACAAGTAGGTCGTTGCACATGACCAAACTTGTTACAAGGTTGTTTTTTGCGCATCCGAACACCCAGGTTTGATCACTGACATTATCCGTCGCACATGTACAGTGGGATTTCGCAGCCAATAGAATTGGGCATCAATTTACTGTCTACGTTCAGAAACTGACGGCCTCACGAGCCGGTAGCAGTGTAACTGACGGTTAGATTGTGGAGTGTGAGGAAAAGCAGTCGCATGCTTGTGATTGTAGCTAGACGCTACGCTGGCGCCAAATCATGAGTCATCGTTAGTATTCCCCTCAGCCGTTAAAACGAAATTGTTACAATGTTTTGGTCGCCAAGAATCGCCCAACGTAGCGGAAAGTCGCAAGCAGTGCCCTAGATATCAGACTTTTTACGCTGATTCAGCGTCCATTTAGACTTTTTTTTGGTACCTGGTCTGAACTGAGTTTTTTTTTTATGTACCTTCTCTGATTTTTCAGAGTTTTTTTTATTGTAACCGCTGAAATTTCAGCCAATTTTTAGGGGTGTAGGCTGAGCCTCAGACTTGTGTCGGGGGTGCACTCTGCGAGCTTATCGAAACGAAGTTTTTTGGAAGTTTCGTTTCGATATGCCCACTTCCGAGATGGCAGTGGAGTGCCAGGACGTGAGCAACGCACGCTTCAACAGCTGGGACATCCGAATACACTCGTTCGTCGAGAATATCTCCCAGTTACACTAAGAAAATGGTTGCGTGATTACGAGATTTCGTAGACAAACGAAAACTCACCTCTCTAGGAAATCCCAAGGTTTGAGAATGTTTGTGAGAAAACGGAAGTGAGAGTGTTTGTGAGACCCTTCAAAGTGTTTGCGAGTAAAGTAGGGAGAGCGGGAAAATGGAGAGTGGAAGGAAGAATGGAAAGGAGAGTGGGGGTCCGAGGGGGTGTGTAAAAGAGTGAAGGGAAGAGCTTTGACCCGAGAGAGTAGAGGACACGGCCAATGACCCACACCATGCCACACCTAACTTTGAGGCGCGTCAGAAATAGTGTAAGGAGGATAACTTACCCGAGCGAGTAGAAGACGCGGCCAATGACCCACACCATGCCACACCTACAGGCAGCATGGTGGATGGATGGGAGAGTGTGATGGACAAGAGGCACACCACCATGCCACACCATGCCATGCCACACAAAACCACGCCACACCACGCCACACCATGCCACACCATGCCACACCAAGCCACAGGTGGGGAGGCACTCAAGGGAGGGCGGAGGCAGGAAGTGATGGGGTAGGGGAGCGAGCACGGATGGATGCACACCGAGAAACATAACAGATGGGGAAACATAACAGATGGGGAAACATGGGGATGACAGCAAGGGCTGGGAGGGCAACATACGCGGAGGCAGTGATAGGGTAGGGGTAACAGGAGATGAGGATCATCGAGAGGAAGGCGGGGTGGCATTCAAATCGACACAATATGATGAGAAGGCAACGGGTGGCAAGATATGGGATGTGTTGAGAAGAGCAACATACGCAGAAGCGCAATGAGGTAGGCATAGCCGACAATGAGGAGCAGCGAGATTAAGGTTGGGTAGTTCTCAAGGGTGTTCTGGTGGGTGCGCTGGTAGCAGTTGAACAGGCTGTACTCCTGTCCTCTTACATCTGCACACCCAGGGGCGCAGAGTGGAGCAGAGCGGTGAGGAGGGAAGGCGGGGTAGCTCTCAAGGGTGTTCTAGAGGGCGCGCTGGTAGCAGTTGAACAGGCTGTCCTCCTTGTCCTCCTACTGTCAAATTATGTTTGTATGCTCTAGGCTGTAGTGGGGCATACTCTAGTGAGTACAACCCTTCAGGGTTTCATACTTGTACTCACATTCCTACTCAATGCATCATTCCTCCTTGACATGGTTTCAGAGTAGGTCCCAGTTAGGACCAAATTTTCAGGGCCCACCGTATTCGTTCCGCTCTTCCCGGCCGTCGCGTTTTTTGTTTTCACTGCCCGGCCGTCACGCTTTTTCCCCTGCTGCCCTACCCTGCCCCGCGTGCTACCGCCCTGCCTGCCCAAAATCACGCGCTGTCGCGCTGCCTAGTGCGCCCGGCCGCCTGCTGCTCGCGTTGCCCGCGCGCTGCCAACGCGGCCCGCACGCTGCCCGCACGTCGCCCGTGCTGCCCTGTGCCGCCCGCCGCCGCGCTGCCCTATGCCGCCCACCGCCGCGCTGCCCTGTGCTGCCCGCAGCCCGCTTCCCTGCGCTCTGCATTGCCCGCACTGCCTGCATGTGCCCTGCCTGAGCCGCCCGCGCCTTGCCATGCGCCGCCCGCTCACGCCCCTGCTGCACTGCTCCACCGCCAACTCGTGCCCTGCCCTGCCCTGCTTGCACGCCTGCTGCTGTTGCGTGCACCGCCAGCTAACGCCCCTGCTGCTATTGCTTGCGAGCCGCCGAGCCGAGCCGCCAAACCGAGCCGCCCAGTCGAACCGCCCGTTCGAGCCGCCCTGCCGAGCCACCCAAACCGAGCCACCCTACTGAGCCGCTCCTTACTACTGCTACTGCTACCACTATTTCTGCTACCGCCACTACCGTTCGACTGCTATGGCGACCCCTACTATTCTCACCTTTGACGGAGAGGGCCACCCGGTAGACTTCGAGTCCTGGCTAGAGGATTTCCACGGGTACTTGCAAAGCCAGACGAGGGAGGATGTCTCTCTCTATGAGCATACCTCGGGGTCCCTCGATGCCCCTCCTAACACATGTACTCGTGTAGACCAGTCCAGGTGGACTTCTCGTGACGCTACTGCCGCTCTTGCTGTCCTTAGCCACCTTCCGCTAGACCAGCGCTCCCACTTTCACCAACTTAAGACGACCAAGGCGCTTTACGACGCTGTAGTCACGTGCTACTCGTCCTCGTCGTCAGCCACTGTAGGCCGTCTGGCGCTGCGGCTCCTCTACCCAAGCTGTCGGACTTCACCACTGTAGCCGACCTCCTGACTCACCTGCACTCCCTTGAGACCCGCTACACTGCCGCCCACGAGCCCGCCTTTAGGGCCGAGAACAAGCCACCAATTTATCTCACCCTTTACTTTCTCACGACCCGCTTCCCTGACTCCCTTCATGCTGTACGCGACCACTTCCTCGCTCTAGACCCCACGAAGATCACCCTCGCCTCGTTTGAGTCCCATCTCTTAGAGGCTGAGTCCGCTGCCCTAGCTGCTGCTGCCTAGAGGTGGAGGGGATGGGGGGGGCACTAGGGGTGGAGTTGGAGGAGGAGGGGCTGGAGGTCCGGCCACTCGTTCAGTTGCGTCTAATGGTGCAGTGGGGGTGGAGGTGGCTCAGGGGGTGGCCAGCAGCAGCAGCAGAGCCGCCAGGCGCAACTCTCGCCGCAGAAGCTTCGTGAGTGGGCGATCAGACGTGGCAGCTCAGATGGCCCAACTCGCTGCGGGTACGTCCGTTGCACATGTCAGCCTGGGGCAACCTACTCTCGCACCGACCACACCGAGTCTTGTTGCTTTATTCGCCTCGACAATATGTATCGTGCAGAGCATGGTGACCACATGACGACTCCTGACTCGCTTGCCTTGCCGAAGAAGGATGTAGATGTCTTTGCTTGTGAGTGGGATGTGATCCATGCTGGCATGTATGCACCCAGCCTGGAGGCGAGCTAGTTGCGATCTATATGGACTCACGCACTGGTGAGCACCTCGCCACGTTCACTCGGAGTAGGGATAGAAGGATTTATCTGAGGCTGGTACACCTTCTCCTGTACCTAAAACCTTCCCCTAAGCCTTTGCAGCTGTGTAGGCTTCACTTGTGGGGAAAGGTGGGGAGCCTTAACACCGAGGTGCAGGGAGAGAATATTAACTCCTCAGAACGCTCGGCCCTTATCAACGCTCCGGAGTGGGGTCCCCATATTACCCGGTACCGGTTTAATTTCTGACCCTCTCATATTAAAGGCTTGAAAACCACGAGAAGTATGTCAGAAAGTAGGAATCAAGAATGAATAGGAAGACAGAAGTACAGGGTTTGTATAGCAAAACCTAATTGGGCTGTACCCCATTAGGAGTGCCCCACTACAGCCTAGAGCATAGTTCCGACACACCCCCATAGGCAAAGTGGGGGACAAGCAAGAGAACGAAGCAAGGTCAAGCTCAGGGTGGATCACGAAGTCACCACGCATTCTGAGCACAAGTAAATGGCCACAAGGCCAGTTCACATGCAGAGTTATATATATAGAGGAGAACAAGCAGGACAGTGATCACAACCTAGCAAGTGTATGTCAAACATATACATATGTTATAGTTTTGGGTAGGCTGTAGTGGGGTAGATACTGTGGGGTACAACCCCTTAGGTTTCCTTCTTGCACCAAAATCTCTCGATAGTCAAACACATTCCTGCCTAGTTTCTAAGATGGTATCCAGATCATTAGGTCTTTAGGACCTAAGATTAGGGCCCACCTGTTACCGCGTTACCTCACCTA